TCCATCAGTGCTGAAGTCCCATTAGCTCAGTGATGGCGAAAAAACTGAGGGAGAAGAGAAACATTGGAATACTAGTCGGTACCAGTGTGCACAAGTGTATTTGCTTTGGAAGAATAAAGCACCTCTAATGTGGGGTGTTCTACATGTGTGGATGTTGCTGTGTTATATAAAACTGATTGAATAGTTTTTCACATTTTAGAATGGGGTGCCTCGGGACTGTCCATAATTTTGAAGGGGTCTTTGACTGAAAAAAGGTTGAGAAACATTGTGCTAGACATGAAGGGATCCGACAGTTCTGTGTACAATCAGTGACTTTATATGTCATACCAGGGGCGGACTGACAAATCATAGGGCCCCCGGGCAATAAGATCATGGGGCCCCTGTGTCCTCACCAACACCCAAAAAAGCCTATGAAAAAGCCAATGAAAGGTACCAGGGGCATCTCATGGGGCCCCCTACTGACCCCGGGCCCTCGGGCAGTGCCCGAGTGTTCGAATGGTCAGTCCGTCCTTTGTCATACACAATTGGTCACAAACTGCAGAGGTCTTCTACCTGTGATAGGAATGGGAGGATGGATGGGGGGGGGGGTTCTTAGTAGAGCCTGTAGGAGAATACTGTATATTAGGATGGAGAGGCTGTCAGGGTTACTTGGGTACCCCAGCATTCACCTCCCCCTCAGTGGGCCGGGATCTGATGGTTTTGTGTGTTCAGGGTCCCTTACGTTGGGTGTTTGATTTCTCCCATCTGCTCCTGGAAGAAGTTTCTTTCCACAATATAATGCACGGAGATTCCAATGACCAGGATGAATATTTATCTTACTCCAGCCAATGTCTGGGAGGAGGCGCCCAGCCCCCACATCTTTTTTGGGTGTGGTTTGAGTGTGGGCAAGGACACAGGGGCCCCTTGATTTCCTATTGTCTGGGGGCCCCATGAGTTGTCAGTCCGCCCCTGGGGAGTGTCACCGCACTGGGTGACACCAACCCTAGGGACGCCTGTCTGCTCGGGACTGTCCATAATTTTAAAGGGTGCCTTGAGTGAAAAAAGGTTGAGAAACATTGTGCTAGACATAAAGGGATCTGACAGTTCTGTGTGCAATCAGTGACTTTACAATGTCATACACCAGGGGTGGGTAACTGTAGCCCTCCAGCTGTTGTAGAACTACAAGTCCCATGAGGCATTGCAAAACTGACAGTTACAAGATTGACTCCCAAAGGCAGAGGCATGATGGGACTTGTAGTTCATCAACAGCTGGAGAGAGCCACAGTTGCCCGCCCCGTCACACAGAATTGGTCACAAACTCCAGAGATCTTCTACCTGTGATAGGAGGATGGATGGGTGTGTGTTGGGGGGGGGGGGGGGGTCTTAGAAGAGCCTGTAGGAGAATACTGTATATTAGGATGGAGAGGCTGTCAGGGTTACTTGGGTACCCCAGCATTCACCCCCTCAGTGGGCCGGGATCTGATGGTTTTGTGTGTTCAGGGTTCCTTACGTTGGGTGTTTGATTTCTCCATCTGCTCCTGGAAGAAGTTTATTTCCACAATATAATGCACGGAGATTCCAATGACCAGGATGAATATTTATCTTACTCCAGCCAATGTCTGGGAGGAGGCGCCCAGCCCCCACATCTCCATACACAGAGCCTGACATACATTGATGGGGGGAGGATTGTATGTTATCATTTATTGATGTGACTTTATCTCCTAGATTGTAAGCTCCAAAGAGCAGGGCCCTAGAACCCCTCATGTATTGTATCTGTATTGTCTCATGTTCTGTCCCCCACTATAATGTACAGCGCTGAGCAAACCTTTTGGCGCTATATAAATACTGTATAATAATAATAGAACAATGTGGTCTGATGACAGGGAGGGATCTTCATTGTCCTCCATCCTTTACTTCTGATACATTTCTTCTGGAGATCAATATATACCAAACAATCATCTTCCCCGACTCTCGGAGGAACGCGGATCTCATCATCACCTTCTTCAGTCATCAGAAGAAATCAGAAATGTTACAATTTGAAGGAATCTCCCGGATCTGTGATTGGCTCAACATTCAAATTCCTGCATTCAAATTTCCCGCCGGAATTCTATGGAATCTTCTTCGATCCTCCAACCCGACACACTGAAAATACCGACATTAACCCCCCTTCTTCCGGAGAACATCGATCATCGGCCCCTTCATCTCGGGCAGTTTAATGGACCAAGAATAGGAAATCCGTTGGACATCTTCATGTCAGATCGGTTCCGGCTTCGATTTGTAATTCAGAATGCAGAATCCGCCCCGCTATAGAGATCAATGGAGAGTCTACGGAACAAATATTTTTCTGGGCTGAAGACGGAGACAGATCTCAGGATACATTTATTTGGACTACAAATCAGGTTGTTATTATTGGCTGGTGAAGGGAACGCTCACAACTGTGATTGGCTCAGATTTCAAATATCTGCTTTCAAATTTGCCCGCCAGAATGGTGTAGATCGTTACAGTTAAACGTTCATAATTATTATACCGCCAAATCCGACCCGGAGAACAAAGGAGATCATCAGATGAGACGTTTCTGCGAGAAATATCAACACTTTAATTCCAAGCAGATTCATCGATCATTCCGGAATGACTACGAATGGATTCTGATGATTACTGAATCATGTAAACACTTCTGTAGGTTCTATTTATTCCAAGTCCTCAAGTCCAGGATCCCCCACTGCTATATATAGAACATGATAGGGAGATGATTTATATTGTAGATCTCTTCCTTTCTATATGATGGGAAATAAAGTATTGTACATTTCATGATCAGATCTGTACATGTTCATGTCACTGACCGATAGTGATCCTGACACTGCCAGATATATATATACAATACATTCATACAGCAAATATTTCATGTCTGGACAATAATAGAGATAGATAAAGCAAATAAACAGTCCTTTTACCTCTTTGTATCTGGAAATCAACAAAATGTTTACAAGGTTCAAAGTCAAAGAAATTCTCTGCAGAATATGAAATTGCTGTGACCCGCCCGTTCTGCTAGGACTTATAAACAGGAAAATAGGATATCGTTTTTTTTTTTTTTCCTTTTCACAAAAATATTTAAAAAAACATGAAATTAATAAACACAGTAATCAGTGATTGTAGTCTCAGTTATGAAATGTGAAAGATGAATGTTTTCGGTGTAATTTTCGAGGACACTAAATAGAAGACCATTGAGAAGGAGGAATATAAGTGCCTTCTAGAGATGTATTGTTTTTGCCTCAAAGTTTCTGACACCATATACACGAAGAACATTGTATTGTGTGTAAAGAATGGGTGTGACTCCGCCTCTTCCCAGGAAGGTTCCCATCAGGTCCGCTCAGGCTGTATAAAAGGAAGGCGGGCCCAGCCCAGAGCTCAGTCGGTGTTTGCAGCAGAGAAGAGTCGTCATGTCTGGTCGCGGTAAAGGAGGGAAGGGTCTGGGGAAAGGCGGCGCCAAGCGCCACAGGAAGGTGCTCCGGGACAACATCCAGGGCATCACCAAACCCGCCATCCGACGTTTGGCCCGCAGAGGGGGAGTCAAGCGCATCTCCGGCCTCATCTATGAGGAGACCCGCGGAGTGCTGAAAGTCTTCCTGGAGAATGTCATCCGCGATGCCGTCACCTACACCGAGCACGCCAAGAGGAAGACCGTCACCGCCATGGATGTCGTCTATGCTCTCAAACGGCAGGGACGCACTCTCTACGGATTCGGAGGATAAATCCTCATAACCCCCCCCCCCCCCCCCCCCCCCCCCCCCCACAAAGGCCCTTCTCAGGGCCGCCCACCTTCTCATACAAAGGGCTATTGATAGAAACATCGAGATCATCAATCTCGGGGAATATTTAGAAACTCAAACATTCTTTTCATTGTACATATTTATTTGGCAGTGTTAGGAGTTATTTCTACGAATCATTTCATCAATATTCTAGATGTGAGATCTGTAACAGCTGCAAGTCTTTAATAGATCTGATATTGAAAGGATTCAGTAACCAGAATCCAGTTGTAGACTTTCATTCCAAGCAGATTTATCGGTTAGTCAGGGAAGTGGTGTTTGTTGATTGTTCGCCGATAAATGTCTCATAGTTCTCCGACTCGGATTTGGCGGTGTAATCGGGCTGAATATTTCTCTGAAACGATCTACACAACTCCGGCGGCAGAATTTGAAATCTGAGCCAATCACAGCTGTGGGCGTTTTTCTCCGTCGGCCAGTAATGCTTTTCTTACGAGTAAAAAAAAAAAAAATATCGTGCAGGGAATTCAACAAAATCAGTAAACTAAGAACTCCATCTTGTCGGGTTTTGAGTACAAATAAAACATTTCAAATGAATATCTGCAATGCTCGGAATGAATGGAAGGATTGATCGATCTTCCCAGATACAATCTGCATCCATTGGCCATTTTAAACGGTCCATAGAACTCCGGCGGGAAAGTGGAATTTAGACAATTGAAGCAATGAAAGGTTATTCATTCAGATAAGTGGTAGGAAACTATTTGATCGGACATTTTTAGAAAAGTTTTGAAAACCGATTATCAGCTACAAATAACCCGCCCAATCCCGGGGCGCCGAGAGATCACTTTCTCCGCAGAAAGTTCAACATAGAAATCCTTCCCGGCGTCCAAACGTCTTCCTATGGAGAAGCAGAGATGACACCCGATGTAGAGGAGACTTACTGTCCGGACGGCGGGAAGGATTTCCAACTTTTCGAATTGTCATTACAAACACGTGACAGCTTCCATCCCAGAACGTCCTTTACTAATCCGACATCTACAGAGCAGGACGGAGGGAAGAAGTCGCCGACTTTCCTCCTCCACCCCCCCCCAGACACTGAGAATACCATAGAAGCGGGAGATAGAGAGGAGTGTGGGATTGGTGTCCATAGAAGCCGTATGTCCGCCCTTTGTATGGAGATGTGGGGGGCTCTGAGAAGAGCCGTTGTGTTGGCGGATAGAAGGGAATCCTGTGGGGGGATTACTTGCTCTTGGCGGCCTTGTGGCTCTCGGTCTTCTTGGGCAGCAGCACGGCCTGGATGTTGGGCAGGACTCCTCCCTGGGCGATGGTGACGCCGCCCAGCAGCTTGTTGAGCTCCTCGTCGTTGCGGACAGCCAGCTGGAGGTGTCGGGGGATGATGCGGGTCTTCTTGTTGTCTCGGGCGGCGTTGCCGGCCAGCTCCAGGATCTCAGCCGTCAGATACTCCAGGACGGCGGCCAGATAGACGGGAGCGCCGGCCCCGACCCGCTCGGCATAGTTGCCCTTCCGGAGCAGACGGTGAACACGACCGACGGGGAACTGCAGACCGGCCCGGGACGATCGGGTCTTGGCCTTAGCCCGAGCTTTGCCTCCTTGTTTGCCGCGACCAGACATGATTGGATGACTGACGAATCACACACAGATAGGCCCCAGCAGCCGCTTCCTCTCCTTTATACACTCCGTGCTCTGACGTCACACGCTGGGATTGGTTGCTTTTCAATACAGCCAATAGCATTCAGATTTGTTTCTACACCAATCTGTAACTGAGAAAAGAAAGCATGACCTCACTCTCTCTCACCTGACCAAGTCCTCCAATAGAAGAGTGAGGAGGGATGAGGCTCCTTTGCATAGGCCGCCTATAAAAGCAGCACATGAGGGCGGCTCCAGCACACTTTCCCCGCAGCCAGCCAAGCAGTGGTGAATCCTGATCATGCCTGAACCAGCCAAGTCTGCGCCGGCGGCCAAGAAGGGCTCCAAGAAAGCCGTGACTAAGACCCAGAAGAAGGACGGCAAGAAGCGGAGGAAACTAGGAAGGAGAGTTATGCCATCTACGTGTACAAGGTGCTCAAGCAGGTCCACCCCGACACCGGCATCTCGTCCAAGGCCATGAGCATCATGAAACTCCTTCGTCAATGACATCTTCGAGCGCATCGCCGGCGAAGCTTCCCGCCTGGCTCATTACAACAAGCGCTCCACCATCACCTCCCGGGAGATCCAGACCGCCGCCGTCCGCCTCCTCCTGCCGGAGAGCTGGCCAAGCACGCCGTCTCCGAGGGCACCAAGGCCGTCACCAAGTACACCAGCGCCAAGTAATCCCCCCGCCCCCCGGGGCCCCATCATCCCAACAAGGACACAAAGGCTCTTCTAAGAGCCGCCCACCATTCCAATCACTGAGCTGTCATCACATTGTATTGCCGCTAGAGGTCCCCCACACGTCACACTTACACTGGGTTTCTAGATTTGTTCTCGCTATCAGAATACCAGCCAGCCTTCTAGATCCCATTTATTGTGGAATTCCTGATTGTTCCATTTGGAGGATTTCATTTTGTCTTCTAGTGGATCCAGAAACAACCCGCATTGTAGATCCCCGGACAGAAGGCAGAGATTTGTCCCCATTAGCTATCAGCGTTCCGTTCTTTCACAAATGTTCGTGAAGCGGTCTGCATGCCTCGGGGTTTGATGGGAACACCGGAACCCAATGATATGGAGGGCCGGCCCAATACTACTGGTAATATAGTGTGTATCTATATGTATCTGTATTTCTTTTTCATTGGAGTATTAGGTGAATTTCAAGTGCGTCAGATTAATACACAGAATGGAGAGTCACAAATTGTAATACGGATATCATAAATGGAGGGGAGGTGTAATTGGGCCGATTAATCCCCCCCCTTACTTTTGTCATCAAATTTACTGAATTATGGACATAAATAGTCCTCTCTCGGAGATTGCAATTCTTACATTGAGAAGAAATTCGAATCTTGACTTGTAAATATCTTTCATATCAATGTTTTCTCATCTGGCCGTAAAGGAGCTCCCAGAGAGATCGGGATATTCTACTAACAAAGAACCTGCAGATCTTGGCGGAAATTACAAACAATATTCCGATCAGAAGAAAATATAAGATATAAGATATCAATACAATGTTTGTTACAAATAAACTCGTAACTGTGAAATGAATGGGATGAATTGCTGCAGACTAGATGTCCGCCTCCTCCCACATCCTCAGCGATAGATTGTCATTGTGCCATCAAAGTCCACACTGTCATCGCCGGGATCGGATTGTCCTTGGAAGTGGGATTCGGAGAGAAAAGGCAGAAATCACATTGTATCTCCTCCCAGATCCGCACACAAGTCATGTCTCTTGTCATCTCGCTCTTCTATAGACAATACATTGCAGCCCTTCTGACTGTCCCTGTTAGTCCACAATTGTGCTGGATGGACCGAGATGGGCGACAAACGTTCTGCTTCTTAGTCCCGAACAGAGGAATCCTCGGATCCGTGAGATCGGAGGAGGATCTTCTGTCATCCCATTCACTGTATTATGGAGGAATCCAGTCCGATGTCAGTGGATGTAATTGTTACATTGTACAGGGAGTCTCTGATCTCTGATTATTAGCAGATCTCTGATTAATCTTCTCTTCTTTGGTAGTAAGGAGAGCTCCGAGCATTGTATGATGTGGAGGAACTCCCCTCCCCCACCCCTGACACAGCGGGGCTTCTCTACCTACAGAGATAACGTGCAGATCCTGGCGGGCTTTTTGAAAATCCCGCTCTTTTTATGTAAACCAATCATTAGAAGGGGCGTGACGTAGTTCTCCAATCAGAGGGCAGGGATGTGTATAAATAGCTCTGCAGAGCGGCTTCAATTCCTATTCCCAGCACAGATCTGAGAAGTAATGGCTCGTACCAAGCAGACCGCCCGTAAGTCCACCGGAGGGAAAGCTCCCCGCAAGCAGCTGGCCACCAAAGCCGCCCGCAAGAGCG